GGGGGGGCGAGGGGCAGGAAAAGAGAACGGGAGCAAAAGAAACATCATTCGTGACAGCTCATTTTGACAACTGGTACAAGTGTGTAATTACAAAATGATATTGTATAGAAAATAAAGATTTGAAATATGAACTCTGGCAGCCCAACTGATCCTTTTAAATTTCCAGAATTGTTATACCTCTAGATTATTTCATCAGAGGAAAGGTGTCAGGATTCTTTGGTTTTTACCCCCAAATTCTTTAAACAATCTATAAACCAGAAAATAACCTTATTCTCTACAGAGCAAAATCAAGAATGCTACAAAGTCATCTGGGGAACTCATCTAAGTGGATTTGGCTACGGAAATGCCCCAAAGATGGTTCACAACGTAGCCCCAGAAGGGAAGATGCCAGACGCTAATCATGGGATCCTGGAAGGCTGCAGCACTGGGAATCAGAAAGCCTGAACTCTAGGCTCAGGGCTGAGAAACTGTAGATCTTAGACAGTTAACCTCATTTTTATTTTTTTTTTCTTTTTCTTTTTTTTGTGTGTGTGACTGTGATAGTCGAGGATGAGATATCCATAATGTGAGGGGATTGGGGATGATCTTTAAGGTTCCGGCTGGCTTTTAACTCCCTTGAATCTTAGTATTTATATAGGCTCAGCTTCTTTCAAAGCCTCATAGTGTGCCAAGGCCAAACAGCCCATCAGTCACGAAGCACCAAACACGTGACATTGCTCTAGTGAAAGCTGCACTTCAGGAGCATCCTAGATCACACTGGCCTGTGTTATTGCCTGCAGGGCAGTCAGTCAACATAGGGATGTGTCCACCATTCAGGGAATGATCGCCCACCTCCATATTCCTCTCTTGGCCCTTGTCTGTTTTAACTGTTGTATCAGACCTTTTCCTCAGGGGTGAGGTTATTGAGACAAAGCAATGACTAGAGATTCAACCTTGCTAATTCTGGGACCCAGAGTCGGCATCAGGAAGAATGGGGACAAGGATGACATTGAAATTATGGGGTAAAAACAGATTTGTTGCTAGAACATGTCTAGGTTATATCGACTCAGGAGTTAGACTGCCTGGATTTGAAGCCTGGTTCTGTCATTATTAGGTAAGTGACCTTGGACAAATTACTTAACCTCTCTGTGCCTCAGTTTCTTCATCTTTAGGATGTGAACGTGATAGTGCTTACTTTATCAGGATTACTGTGAGCATTAAATGAGTTCAAAGAGATAGAGTGCTTATACTTGGTAAAAATTAGCTGAATATTAGCTATTATATTTCTGTTTATAAGAACAGCTTGAATAAATGAAAAGAAATGGCTGCTTTATACATCACATTTCCATAAAGATTCATGATTTACAAAAGCATTTAAAATAGAGCAACTTGTTTAATCTTACAACAACTTGATGATGTGTAAGTATTGCCGTCCCTCCCTTGGTTCATGAACTTTGATAAGACACTGAATACAGGCCTTCTGACCAAAAAAATACCCAGGGCTTCTATTGCCACACCACAGCTGCTTCCAAATGCTGGGAGATCTGGGGAATTTTTTTTTTTTTTAATGGCTATATGATATCACTTATTTATTTTGGCAAGTCAATATATTTCCTTCTGAGCCTTCTTTCGTCACAGTATGTTACAAAGATCGAACAAGGGAACATAAGTAAAACACCCAGAAGAGTGTCTAGAATATAGCAGATGCTCAGTGGATTTAACTTTCTGTTCTTCCCTCCTCTGGCCAAAAAAAAAAAAAAGATTAGCATCAGCTTTTTTTAGTCTTAAGACTAAAAAGGTTTCATGGGATCTAGGAATGGAATTGTAAAAGACCCAAATCCGCCATTCTGTTATCAGCAACAGTACAAAGAAGAAAAACCTACTTGAGCAAGCATCTCTCTCTTGAGGCATGCTATTATTATTATCAGGCTCTTAGGAGCTGGATGAACCAGCCTTAAAGGTCAGACCATTAGGATCTTACTTTTTTTTTTGTCTTTTTTTTTTTGTGACCAGTAGGGGGATCGCAACCCTTGGTGTGGTGTTGCCCGCACTGCGCTCACTGAGCGCACCGTCCATCCCTATGTAGGATCCGAACCTGTGGCGGGAGCGTTGCTGCGCTCCCAGCGCCGCACTCTCCCGAGTGTGCCACGGGGTCGGCCCAGGATCTTACTTTTGAATTGCTATGCTAACCAAGTAACCACCTAGTAATTTGAATTCTCAGGCGAATTTTCCTACAAGAAAAGTAAGTAGGTCTCTGCCTGGTAGCATGTGAACTGCTTAGCAATTGAAACTCTCACCTTCAAAAATTGTGTTTTACACATGTCTTATGTGCATTTAGTTGGCATGAGCCATTCTTCCCTAAGACGACTCACTACAGGTGTCATTACAGAATTGATTTGGGGATTTGGGAAACTGAGGACCAGGTCCTGATCCCCAGGGTCCACACTTTCTCTTGGTCTTGTTCCTACTCATCTATCAGCTGATCTGTTGCAGCTGATCTCCTAACTTGTCTCCTCTCTTCTCCCCACCTCCAGTCTATTCTCCCCTGTCAATAACTCCTATTTTCTAAAAGATAGAGGCTACACTGCTTAGCAGCCTTTACAAGGCTGACATTTTCTCTCACTATCTACTTATCTCAATTAATTCTCATGACCATCCTGTGAAATTATTAAAGTCCACACTCCCACATCCAAAAATTCTTGGGGGCTAGATGGGTTTCAGAATTTAGGATTTTTCAGATTTTAGAACAGCGATGAGTTGCATACGTTATGTATGACATTACACTCCCTTTGGGGAATAGCTGATAATCAAAGATTTTGATATTTCTGTAGCCTAATGCACAAATAGTCTCTCTAAAAGGAAATAAAGACAGTTCAAATCTATTTTTGGAAGTTTTTGCTGTCAAACAAGGTCAGATCAGGTCATACTCATATTTTGCTACCAGTGAGCTAGGACCAAAGAAGAAAACAAGAACAATTTTTGGTTTTAAAGTTTTGGGATTTCAAAATTACAAATAAATGATTGTGGGCCTATATACCAAGACTGTCCTCTTTTACAGATGAAGAAAGTGAGGCTTGGAGAGACTGGATAAGTTGCCTGAGATTTTGAGGAGCCGAGATTCGAATTGAGGCAGTGCAACTCCTGGGCTTCCAATGTCTGGGCTTGTTCTTGGCTTCTAGGGCCTCCCTCTCAGATCCCTCCCACTAACAATGGCATCCTCTGTAGTCTCACCACCGGGCTTGGTACACAGATCTTAATACAGCTATTTCTCTTCTGAGTTCTAATGGCTACTTTATCTGCTTTGCTTCACTACTAAATTACTGAGTTCTTAGAAGGCAGGGATTTTCCAGTCCCTGGGCCAGAGTAGCACTCCATAAATATTTGCAATACTTGCTAAGTTGAACTTAAGGCTTTAACCAGGAGCCCAAGAGAGAAGGGATGCCTGACTTGTGTCCCAATTTGCACATTGTCCCATAAGAGTTTGAAGCGTAGGTTTACATATTGTGCTAAATAACCTAGTAATTCTTTCCCAGTGTGACTAGCAGTGGCGCCCTCCGTCCTTTCTTTCCCATCATACACTTCCCAACCATACATGCCCCCAACAGGAAAGCACACACACATACTCATCAGACTTCCAGACTTATAGCATGAAGAAAGTACCTTTTCGTAGAACATCAGTTTGTTCAGAATATGCTACATATGTAGGAATTTGTTCCACAATGTACAGAGTGCCTTTGTCAAGCCCGTAGCGCAGCTTTACCTTCTTCAGGTCCAGGACCATGTATTGATTGTTATAGGTGCCTGAAATATCAGGAGATGTGAAGGCAGGGCATGGGCATGGCTTTACTGGTTAATAACTTTAAATCTAAACACATGTACATGCCTAAAAGTCACTCTGCAGGGCCACTTACCAGAATTGTATTTTGAAAAGATCTCTGCCCAATTCTTGCCACCATTTGCCATCATATTGGCTACACGGACTCTTTGCCAGGCCAGGAGAGTCTCGGGTATCACCTCCTTTAGTAGCGTTTTATTATACACACTGTTTGTGGTCTGCAGCAATACCAAACCACTGCTAAGAATGTAAAAGTCATCCAGAGACTCCAAAAACCCTACAGGAAAGACAAATACACAAATCAGCATATGTATACATGTAATATTAAACCATCATTATTAGCACAGAGCTTTACACACACAATGCATTTTGCAAAGAGTATCAGTTATTATTATGCTTGATCTGCAGTAGCCTCTCCCAGCTTTGGCTCACCTCTGTGGTAGTTACCCAACCACTGCTTATGGAGGTGCCAGTAGACCTCCACCCCTGTATTCTCCATTGAAAATTTTTGACTTCATAATCTGAGATGACAAAAATCTATTAAATCAGTAATATTCCAAGTTTCTAAAATAACAAACAGAAATAGATTCCCACTTGCTAGGATTTTGCAGGGGAACTTTTAATTAGGGAGGGTATTAGCAGGGTTCATTGTTGGATAGTAAGAATATGGATACCTTCTTTCCTCTCTTCTATGTTTTTCCGAATTTTATGAGTCTACATGAATTTTATAAATGGAAAAACATCTACATTTAAAAAAGTGAACATGGTTTTGAAACTAGGACATTGACACTCTGGGTCAATCAATGCTTTTTATAAATGCTGGTGACAATACAGAAAAATAAGTGAAGCCACAAATCTTTCCTGAGGGCCTATATTGTGGTTTATACTGGGATGAGTATGGAAGGAATAGAACATCAGACATAGCTGTAACAATGAGAGGATATACAAGTATTGGTATTAGTAACTCAGAGTAATAGACAATACGTTAGTGCTAAAGAGTGTCAGAAAAGGGACTCCAGTGAGAGTTAGAAGTGACCAGAGTGATAAGCTCCTCTGGTGCATCCCTCATGAATGGGATTAATGCCCTTATTAAAGAACCCTGAGGGAGCCAGCTAGCTGCTTCCACCTTTTGAAGACACTGCTGAAAGTTACCATCTATGAGGACTGGGGCTCTCACAAACACTGAAACAGCTGGCACCTGGATCTTAGACTTTCCAGCCTCCAAAACTGTGAGCAATAAATTTCTACTGTTTATAAATTACCCAGTCTGATGTATTTTGGTATAGCATCCAGAATGGAATAAGATAGTCCCAAATTTCCATTATTTTTATACCTCTTTTATCTGAACTACTATTTACTTAGTATTTGTTTAATTTTTTTAATTGACAAATAAAAATTGTACATGTTTATGGTGCAAAGCATGATATTTTGACATATGTATTCATGAAATGGCTAAATCAAACTATTTAACATATGCATGACTTAATTTTTTTAAAATTAATTCTCTTTTTAAACTTAAAATACTTAGTCTTGTCACATACAATAATGTCTAAGGAGCCATGGGTTTAATGTTTTTATTTTTTCTTAAAAAAACACATTAAAACAAATGCATTTCTTGTGTTTCTACTAATGTGCAAAAATTATTTGTTCACATTCCACCTAAAATCACCTCACCAGCACTATGCATGCTGCTGCACATCTACTCCAGGCCTGGTATGGAATAGGTATAGTGGGGTCAAAAACAGGGGTCACCTGAAGCTAAAAATAAAACTTCGGAGCGTGCGCTGGCAGTCAGAAGGCCTGCATTTTAGTTCCCTGCACTGCCACTAATGAATTTGGCGGTTCTCATTTTGCCTCTGTGTTCCTTATTCCCCTCCTCTGATAACCTGGGACTAAATGATGTCATTCAACTCCAAACATCTAGTCTTAATTTCTGAAAACTTCTGAGTAAGAAGGTTACACGATGAGAGGAGTGTCTAACTAATTCTTAATGAGCCTTCACGAGGCTATATAGAGGTTTATGTAAACCAGCAAAAACTGCACACTCCAGGAGGTACGAGGCATAGTGGCCCCTTGAATGAAATTTTAATGGGTAACCTCTGGAAGACACAGCCTGGACACAGGGTATGTGGCTTGACAAACAGAGTGTGGGACCTTTCCTTGCCCATTCATTTATCTCTTGGGCTGGGGTCATTTTGCAGTGCTCAAACTGTACAACCATACTTGGCAGCCTTGAGCAACCTCTCTACAGGATAGAATACTGTATTTCTGGCATGGTACGTGTGTTAATTCACTCTTTACTGCAGCAGCCTCTCTGGACACAAGAGGGCAGGCGTTCTTTACTATGTGCAAGTGAGTGACTAATACTAATGTTTAAGGAGTAGTCTTTCATTTAAGAGTCGTTCATTAAAGGGACTGAAAGATGGAAAAATATAGGCCACCCAGAGTTCTAAAATAGAAAAGATGAATTGGCTTGCAAAAACTAGAGTTGAGGAGGCTAATTCTACAGTTTAGAGTTTAGCATAAAGGTCCAGAGAGGGGAAAAAAAGTCACCCTGGCTTATAAGAGAAACAAATGTTCTTCGACTATGTAAAAGTTTATTGTCACTCTCATATGTCAGCAGATTTGGAAGGCAGACTATTTGAGATCAACAGAAAGTGAAACACTTATTCTTGTGTTTTATGAAAAGCAGCCTGCAAATAACATTTCACGGTAAGCTTCTAGCTGAATTTAATTAAGAAATAAAAAGCAACTCTTTGGTTAATAAATTATATATCAAGACTTAAAAAAACCCCACTTGAATCACAAATGTACACAGTTAATATTACTCTCAGATGCCATTTAGACCTACTGCTTAGTACAGCCCAGTAAAGTTTACCCTTATTATCCTAAGTACGTTTATAATGTGCCCATTTGCACACTTTAAGCATTAGCTGCACCAAAGCCCAAAGGATGAAAACCAAGCACACTCCTTCCGTCTAGAAGAGTATCAGTGTTGACCAAGGACATAAATAATATACAATTTAGGGTCAGACTTAGGGCTAATGACTGTAAAAATAGCTGTGTTGCATTTCTTCACCCTCCCTCTATGCATATTCTCTGCAGTGTGACTTTGCAGCATCTCCCATCAAGAAATGTTGACTGTTTCCTCACCTCTTACATCTGAGCTGGATTTGGAACTTGTTTCAGCTAACAGAATGTGCCAACTTGTTTCAGCTAACAGAATGTGTGAGTTTAGACCTCAAAAGACCTTGCTCACTTCTGCTCACTCTTGTAACCCTGTCAACTGCCTTGTTAACAAGCCCACTCTAGCCCGGCCTCTAAGATGAGAGACCATGTTAAGGAGGACACAGTCATTTCAGCAACCCCAAATGTGTGAGAGAGTTCATCCAAGGTTAGCAGAGATGCCCACCCAACCCACAGTCACCATGGATGCATGAAGGTGCCCACATGACATGTCTAGAAAGAACCACTTAGCTCACCTATGGACTCAAAAGCAATAATAACCACACATTGCTTTTGGCCAAAAGGTTTTGAGGATTTTTTTTTAATGCAGCCATAGCTAACTGACACAATAATAGTAATTCAGTTATACAATACGTTTGCTTTGAATTGTCTTGCTGAGATTTGATTTTACTACAAACGGATGTGACACTTTGGGAACTCTCTTTTCTTTTCTTTCTTTTAAAAGAAAAAAGCAACAGGGGCTCGGTGGTTAGCTCAGTTGGTTAGAGCACCACCTTGCAACATCAAGGTCAAGGGGTGATCCCTGAACCAGCCAGCCATCAAAACAACAACAGCAGTAGCAACAAAGTAACAACTGTGCACCGTTCTCGGCCTCTCTGATCAGCTTTTTCCCACTGCTGAGGAGGGACAATATCATTCCTCAGACTTGTGGAAAGCACCAACCTGCCCTGAGCTGTCTGATTTCTTTAAGCCAGTCTGATAGTCAACGAATGTTTATTAAACACCCACCACATGCCAAACATTGTGCGGTGGTTCCTAGCCCAGAGACTGTACCAGAATTCCCTCAGAAGCTTTTTGCAAAGGCTCATGCCCAGGCACCTCCCCTGCCCCTCTGCTTTCCCTGGAATCTCCATCAAAACCTCTGCTCCAAGGTTACTGTCTGCAGCAGGAAAATATTCTGCTTGCTCACTTCAAGAAGAAGCCTATGGCCTCCCTGCTAACTGAGGACACAAAATCCTACAGCCCTTTTTTTCACCTACTCCGCAATGGACCTAGCCTTCCCATCTTCCAGAATGGCATTTATTTGCTTCCCTGCCTTCCAAGATCCTGACTGACACTAATCAATTTCTACTTCTCCTTCCAGTGATTATTCTTCAATCAAGTAAGTATTTATCGAGTATATTTCTGCCTAATCCTGTAGTAGGAATGTGGTCAGTGGAGAATTCAAGCCCTTACGGTGGAGTCTGAATATCCCAGGGTCTACATAAAGGAATTAGTAAGTCTCTTAAAGGTTACAGAGAATAAATATAAAGAAGGTAGGTTTGAATGGAACAAACATTCTGCAATCATCCACATCAAAATGAAATTTGTTTTTCTTCAATAATAAATTATCTTATTTAGTTTAGATTATATTATTTCTTTATTTACTTTTTTAATCTACTTCATAGCATGTAAGCTATGCCAGGGAAGGGGCTTTTTCTGTCTTGTTTACTGGTGCTTGTTTACTTGAACACCAAGAAAAGGGCTTGACACAAAGTAGGTGCTCGATAACTAACTGTGAAATATAAGGGAGAAAGAAAAGACAGCGGCGGCTAACATTTACTGTGCGTCTACCACACACTGGATACCTTGCTTTAGAAGGATGGATGCTATCATTGGATTTTCACGAAAGGAGCTTAGATGAACCATTTACACTATTTAAAGCTAATAAACAGGATCATCAGGATTAAATCTAAGACCGACCCTCAGCACATGCCTTTTCCACTATAACACATGACAGATGTGACGGGAACAGTAGTTGTGCAAATGGCAACCACACTTACTCAACATACACAATGGAACAGACACATTAGTACCAATTAAGAAGAGTGAGTCATGGGGAGCTGCATGTTGAGACAGGGTGGAATTGGGAGAAATCACCTTACGACCAGATAATCAAGAAAAGTATGGAAAATATGGTGGGATTTTTGAAAAGACAGTATCCTGATGTCTTGGATGGTGTCAAAGGGGAGATAAAGAACAAAAGGTACAGTCGCAGTCCACATAATGATGTTTCAGTTAATGACAAACTGCATGTATGACAGTGATCCC